CTCTCTCTCACACACACACACACACACACATACACCAAAAAAAAAATAAAAATGAATCGGTCTGGATAGAGATGCGTTTTGAACTCACGAGAGGGGTCGAGAAGCCATGTCGGGCGACGGCGGCAAGCAGTGCCGACGCTCTGCACCTTGCTCACTCGCCCTGTTCCCCACGCCTGTCTGTTTGTCCAACTCTACTTGTCCTGCTACCGATTCCGAAGCTATGGGACTGGACCGCCTCAACAGAAAAGGGTTCTTGATTGAATGCCTCTGCCAGCCACGGTCGCAAGAATGAAAATGAAACCCCTAGGGCACCCGTGCTAACGACCGCTTGAAGTCCCCATCCCTTCAGGGCTTCAGGGCTTCAGGAACTCGCGAAGGTAAATAGACGATAGTGTTACCCGGAACAAATAGAATAGAATAGCTCCAAGGCTCCCTTCTTCACCCCATCACAACGCAGCCTCTTTTTTTTTCTTTTTTTTTCTTTTTTTTTTTTCTTTGAAGCCCAACCAATTCAATTACCTGTCGAATCTGGACAGGACGGCCTTTGAGGCCTTTTTTATTGTCATTATAGTATTACGGGGAACCCCGTAGCAGCCACATCCGTGCTCAAGCCTGCAACGAGGGAACATGCGGGAGCTGCACCCACCAGCAGGTGCGATACCTGCTACAGCAGGTGGGCGATACGGGCCAGGGGTCAGCCGGTAGCATCAGGATCGAGCTTCTTCGATGGGCCAGTCACTGTGCCTCCCTTCCGGTCCCCTCCCCCTATGAACATCAGCAGTCTCTGCTCAATGCCACTCGGGGGGACCAACGGCATATCTCTAGGTGGCGGGCGCCAAGCTTGCCCAGGAAGGTGCATGAGGCCGATGGGGATTGAACCCAAGACCTCCTGAATGCCACTTGCATGCCGTACCAACTGATCTAGGCTGCTGGATGCAGCCTCATTTTGCCTGTACTGCACCAGACAGAAAAGAAAAGAAAAATTATTTACATTCATTATCAGGGTGCGTTATGCTGGGTGGAAGACGGTCGTTGCCGAGGCGGCACGATGGAGTTTGAAGCCCTACAGTACTGCGGAGCATTTTTTTATGGATGGAGATTTCGGCCACGCGCTGGGTTTTACCGAGCCAACATGGGTGCGAAATGGAATTATTTTGGCTGGCTTCACCATCCTTGTTGTTGTGGTAAGGCGAACCCCGAAATACACTGTGCACGCGATAACCATATAACAAAATAGCTGGGAAAAGGGGTGGTAGTACTTCAGAGCCACTTTTTTGCTTGGAAAAGGGTCGGTACTTCCGAGCCACTTACGCCCGGGGCTAAGAAAAAACCGCTCGTTTTGGCTGGTGCTGCAAGCCATTTTGCTTCAGCTGCTGACCCCCAGGAGTTGCGGGAGCATGCAAGGTGCATGGAAAAAATGGCTCGGAAAAGTACCGGTGCTCTTGCATGCTATGAGCGAGTGTGATATGTGCGTGAGAGAGAGAGAGAGAGAGCATCTCTACTCCAACAAAGGGTCATGGTATGATGCTCTACTCGAACATCATTAACCTCAGACAAAGAGTATGAGGTGATGTTATATTCAACAAGAGTATCGTTCCACTCTAATCGAGAGCCAGGCAGTGTTGTATTCAACAGGAGCATCATTCCACTCCAAGTGAGACCCATGGCATCATGTTCTACTGGAAGAGACCATGGTTCTACAATGTTTGATTCAGAATTTTGAATCAGAGAAACTTAGATACAAAAACATGTGTGTTTCATTCAAACAAAAAACTTACAATATGTTTGAATGTACCCATATGGATTGTATTGGAAATATATAGGACACCTCTTTAAGAAATTACTTTACGGGGAAACGCCAATGCTACACATATGCATTGCATGAGGTTAAAATTTCACTAGCAACCCAGACCTGCCTGAAGTACATTATGTTGAAATGGAGTGATCCCTCTGTATTGCATAATAGGGTGCAAAGCCAGAGGCAAATTTAGAAATCAATTGTGTCTGAGTTGTATTACCTTTTAGATAAAGGCAACCAGACTGCATCCCCAAAGCAATACATATGTTTGATAAGGCAAGTGAAGTTGATATGGACTTAAAATACCTATTTTATAACAATAATTTGATAACAATAACTACCTAGGCTACCAGAATCGTTCAGCCCGGGCCACCCGACCAAGTGATCCACGTAAACTTGCACAATGGGGAACCTGCTCGGAGGACCCGGGTGACGACAAAAAGCGGGTTGATTTTATTTTATTTTTTCTTTGGGAGTGATGCAAATTTTGCGCTCACTAAGGTGAAGCTCGAATCCGATTATATCTTTAAATTAGATGAGTATCTCATCTAACTTGATCTAGGGGTATTTGTAGGGTATAATTAGGTTTTGGACAGGCTTAAAGATGTATGACATATACATTGTTTTGTTTTTATTTCTTAGTTCGGTTTTTACAACAAATTTTGTGGTGACGCTCACACGTGACTAAAGTGTTTTATAAGGGTATTTATTTCCGATATAAAACAATTAAAAAAACAATCATTCATTCTTATTGTTCGTTTTTTTTACACAAAGGTATTCGTTTTAGTGTGGATTGGGCATCAACTTCTCCAAGCCAGCTAATAAAGTCTTACCCACATGCGTTGGAAACCAAAAGGATTAAACAACTTTATGATGATTTCTTATATATATAACATTTTTTTGTCCGCAAGTAAGTAAAGGATAAATAACAAATTGAGTTTTTAGGCCGAAAATATTTATGAAGTTTTTTTTTTAAATTAATATAGATAATTTTATGTATCTAATCATGTTATGAAAGGCGAGTACAGTTGTGTTATAAACCGACCTGTAATCAAATCATAACAGAAAATGGTTGATCCTTGACGGATCGGGCCGAAACTAGTCGAGTCCTCCACCAAAGGTAGACCTATATCACAATACAGGTCAAATAAATTATTGCTATACTCATGATAAATTGAGAGTATACTCTATATCGTAGCCTAACTCCTCTACTAAGCTTCTTCTAACCTCTCCACCTCTCCCTGATCGACATCAAAGATTGTTGAAAATTGTGGCATCATGTCCCCTATATAGGATGAATTGTCAAAATTTTCAACATCAAAATTTTAACTAACTCCTCTAATTTACATAAATTTTTGCAGCACTTCTCTTAGGAAAGTAAACTACCAAGATTTTTACTAGGCTAAATCAAAAAGTCAAAATGCAACTAAACTTGGCAAAGACAAATTTTGTCTAACTCTTTAAATTAGCAAAAAAATTAGCAACACTTGCTATAGGAAAGTGGACTCCTAAAGCTATAAATAAAATAAGACTTGAGTCAGATTTTACAAAAATAAAATTTAACTAACTTCTCTAAATTAGTAAAAATTTTGGTATAACTTCTTTTAGAAAAGTAAAAAAAAAAAAAAAAAAAAAAAAAAAAAAAACGCAAGTAGACTTTGGATAATTTTGACACTTAATTTGATTGTCAGATCTATAAATAACCTTCATGATACCCCATTTAAAATGACATGATGGACTTACCGTATCTCTGATTCTCGGTAAGGTTATCCTATTTTATCTCAAACTTCCTCTTTCATCCATCCTTACTATGCCTATCGCTCAAAGACTTGGGAAGTATCCAAAGTTCCATACGATAGCAACCACAAGACACCCCCAAAAAACAAACTCACATAACACACAAGTAAAGTACAATAGCATCTCTAACCAACCCTCGAGCTTGTCATCAAATACTGATTTCATTTAATTCTCAATTCATTAACTTCTTTTACTACTCTTTGCATATGGCATATTATTAGACCGGCTCAAACTAAGGGCACGTTTAATCTGCCTAAATAATACTATAACGTATATAACTAGACTGTCAAAAACTAGGGGTATGACTACCTATTTAGACAATAAACATAAAGCATACGACTAAACTACCCCAAACGAGGGGTATACTCAACCTCTGTTTAGACATCTATGTATTAAGGTGTATGACTAGACCCCTCAAACGAAGGTTATGCATAGTCAGTCTAAACGGTTAACATATGATAGATGGCTAGGCCTTCTCAAACTAAGGGTATATTTAATATTCATTTAGGCAACGACACAAGGCATATGACTAGACCCCCCCAAACGAGGGGTACGCCTAACCCGCCCAAACAACGACATACGCCATAGGAGTAGGCTGCCCCAAACTAGGGGTCATTTAGCCTGCCTAGAGAATAACATACATTGTATAACTAAGTCGCCCCAAACTAGGGGTAGGTCGAGCCTCCGTAACATAATAATATTTCACATGTAAGTTATTTTATCTTTTTCCTAACAAATGATTAGACCGCCCTAACTACGGAGACGTTCAACCTTGCCTTAACCATATTTAAATGCAATAATCAATGTTGCACTACTTCTTTGCTTCTTTATGTTATTACGAACATAGAACTCGGCCGAACTAGGGGTACATCCAGTTTATTCGAGTTACGTCCAATACTATACTATGAGTCCACCATATTTTTGTTTTGTTATTAACCGACTTGTTGACTACACCGCCCTAAACTAAAGGTACACATAGTCTGCAAAATAATATATTTATAGTATATATGATATACTTTGGTTTATATTAATTCATGACACATAACTAGGCCGCCCCAAACTAGAGGTTCGTATAATCTCTGTTTTTTTCTCCGTTATAATAAAATAAAAAACAAGAACTACGCAAATTATAGTGACCCAACTTTTTTTTCAGTAAAAAAAAAAGGCAGGGATTCGGAACCACCCAAATTATGGGTAGGCCTATTCTCCACTTAGAAACCCCCAAGGAACATGTGATTGGACCGTCCAAAGTAGGATAGGCCTAACCTTTGGAAAACAAGCAAGCAGTTCGCAAATCATAAATAAAACACAGCACTGGACCACTCAAACTAGAGCTAGACCCAACTTTTGGTTGACTAGGCAAACGGAAACCAAACTATCATTTTTTATTTTTTTCACCTTTCCCTCATTCATTTTTTATGCTTTCATGCAAGTATCTGAGATTTCACACAAAGTTTATTTATTTTAGTTCAACTTGAGTCATGAAATCATTTTATATAATAACAATAAGTAACTCAGACTACTGTAGCAGTAGTCTTGATCACGATCCGTTTGCATCTCAACATATTTATTTTAGTTCAACTTGAGTCATGAAATCAACTTATATAATAACAATAAGTAGCTTAGTATGATAATAATAAGTAGCTCAGTCACGGTATGTTCAGTCCAAATAGTTATTAAGTACTTAATCCAGTATGTTGAGACCAGTGGAATTGTTGTTTACACCAACACTGATGTTGTTGTTGTTTTCATCAGCAGTAGTCTTGATCACGATCCGCTTGCCATCTCAGCTGTCGAACCTCTCCCTTCTCTCCTAACCCCTTTTTGCTACTACTAGGGTGACTCTCCTCTTTTCGTAATCAACTCGGAATGCATATGGCTGTAATCCCAGTCGAATGAGTACGAAATTCAAAGCAGAAGTAATCAAAATAAAAAGTAGGAGCTGATTTTTTCCGAGTCGTTCATGCCTATAAGGATGAAGCTATCAGCAACATTAATCCAAACTAGTATTTCACGATCAAATGAACAACATTGCGACATCGGTC